TGCCAAAGTCTCAATGTACAATCGCGTGTCTGGCTCAGAGCTTTCAATAAATATTTATTGGTTGAGTGAATGAAACTCATCCATCAGTGGATGGGAGACTCTACTCTTCGTGACTTTTTTGTAAATTAAGACAGATAAGATTTGTTTATGTCAGCTTGCCAATTCTCAGTTTGCAAATGTTTTATGCATTACTAAGAAACATAAAGAGGTTATATTGTTGCACATACCTTTTTAACATATCATCCTGTCATTTACAGAATTAAAAAATGGATGATATTTACAAAATATGCCTGCCAAACATGATTTACATGAGCTACCCCAAGTCATTTTTCATTTACTATAATATTGCCCATTAGTTATATGTAGTATAACATTCTGTAGTAAAACTCAATGGAAAAAATAAGAGTGAGCCAATATGCACTTGGCAGCTTTGTTTCTTTGTGTAGACATTATCTACCTTTGGATGCATAATCTGTTTGATAAAATAGGAACCTTGACTTTTTTGTGGTTATGCTCAGATTAGTCAGGAGTAAGGCTTTTGTTTTCCATTCCATAGTCCTATAGTTTTGCATCAGAACAATAATTGGCCTTCAAAGGGAATTTTCTCAGTGAGAGGGGTGAACAAATGATTTTATTAAGGGAGTATTACTGCAGTTATCACTCCTACAACCATGCCCAGCTGCTCAGCACATATTGAATGTAGTGGTTCAGAGCAATTGACAGTTTTCCAGGATCAAATCTGAAAATGTGAATTGGAGGACTTTCTTAGATTCATTTCTCCCTGTCCAGGACCCAGAAATGTGATCTGAGTTCGGGGATTGTGTGTGGCAGCAATTGAGCTTTTTGTACTCCAGTGGCTTTCTCCAAATGAGGTGTTTCTCCTCAGTGGACTCTGGGACCTGGAAAGGTCTTGTGACTTCTATGATGAGGTAGTAGTCACCTGGAGTAAGCTGACACCCACTGTACTTTAGAGGTTAAGTATGTCGAACCTGTCGTCCAGTAGACCTGAGTCTGAGTACTGTTGCATGAGCTCAAACAGGTTATTTAAAGTTTGGTGTCTCAGCATTTTTATCCATAACAAGTTATGGTGCTAAATACTTTAAACATGTAATAATATATGCATAGGTTTGCTATGTGATTTCAGTAAGATAATTGTCAGAATCTGTGCTGAATACATTAAACAGTAAAGCCTCTATAAAAGCAAGGTATAAACTGTGAAGGGATATATAGCTATGTTAATGTGTTCAAGTGTCATTTAGAAGTGCAAATTAAATGAAAGTGAGTAGAATGATAATAGCAAACATTTAATATAGCAACATGTGCAAGAATGGTTATTAGTGCACTGTGTGTATTTAAGCAAAGATGAATGACATGGCAGCATTCACATTAGACCAGACTTTTCAGAATAATGATTATTGGGGCAAAGTCCATGGCCTCAGGAACAGAGACAGCATCTAGTGCATTATGTAGCATTGCAGATGGATCTTCAGGACTGAATGTTAGTCTCCAATCTTTGTGCAGTGTGGCTTTTAAGCTGAATCATTAGGGAAGCACCAGCCCTTTCCCTGGTGTGATAAGGAACTGGGATTCAGCGCTAGAGCACCATGACAGAACCTCGGTTCTAGAGCTGTTCTGCTTGGGAGAATATCAAGACTTTCTCTGGTATATCCCAGAGCTGGGGTCTGAGTCTTATTGTGGCCACTGGTATGATCCAGCCACTCAGTGTTCATGGCTGGAGATCCATTTAACATGAGAGGATAGGAACCTGGTTCATTTATTACCTCAAAACTCTACCATGATTCATTACCTGAAAGCTGTAGCTGTTTTCTCTGAAGCATTCCAGGAGGCTAACCTATAGGGATGGATTACTGGAAAAATGAACCCTTAACTCTCACCTATCAATTTAACCAATCTTCTTAACAAGATTGAAGTATTTCTTTTCCTGAGGAATAAAGTGAGCCACGGGCTTTTTACCCACAGTTTCACTGCAGGTTTGTTGCAGAGCTGGATTCAAACCCAGGGAGCTTGGCTCCGGAGGCCATGCTCATAACTACAAAAGGATGCTTTAAAGCAAATTGTAAAAAAATAAAAATAATCGAATAAATGCTGACTTCTGGGTGGACAAAACTTCCATAAAAGTCTAAAAATAACCATGAAGTAAATTTTAATTGGCAAGCCAAAATTTGAAAATAATGAATACTACTTAAAGGAGTATCTCAGGTGAAGATTTCTAAAAATAAAGATGGAGAGACTCTGTCTGTTATGCTCTGGCTGAAGGTCCAGATGCAGCACCCACAGGCCAGAGACAACTCTGATCAAGACAGTGACTGATGAGCTGACAGCCCAGCCTTAGCCTCCAATTGGCAGCAGTCAAAGCTACAGAAGAGTCCCTTCAAAAATCTGGATTTGCAATATAGAAGGACTCTCCCCGCCCCTCCAGCTTTATGGAGGTAAAATTGACAAATAAAAATTTTATATATTTAAGGTATACAACTTGATATTTTGATATACATATATAGTTGTAAATGATCGCCACAGCCAAGCTAATTAACTTATCCATCACCTTATATAGTTACCATTTTCTTTCCTTTTTTTTTTTATAAGAACACTTAAGCTCTACTTTTTTAGTAAATTTCAAGTATACAATACAGTATTGTTTATTACAGTCACCTCCAGAATGTTTTCATCTTGCATGACTGAAACTGTGTACCCTTAGACCAGCGTCTTCCCCATTCCTCCCACACCCCAGCTCCAGACAACCATAAGACTTTTAATTCTTAGTGCTGTTTACAGAGTGGAATGAAAGTGCCTCTCTCTCCAGTTCCCTTGTTTATAACCACATTAGTGCCGTTGTTTGAACAGGAGGGAGGTGAAAGATTGAGGGATTCAGAATCAGAGATGATCTAGCCAACATATTCTGTCTGTAAAAAGTGAAACACATTTTTGAACCTCTGACTAATGGGACATGAACCAAAGCCTTTTAGCCTTTGCTGAGCCTTAACTCTTCTTGAAGTGGAAAACATTTGTTGACAACCTATCTTCTTTCCTAAAATTCATGCCTCAAATAATATTCTGCATATGTAGATGTTTGCATTTAGTTAATACTAAATCTTTTCTAAATTCTTATTTGTTATGATGTAAGGAACATATTTCATTTTATTTTTTGTATACTTCTCTAATTTTACTGAACACATTGGAAGGTTGTTTCAAATTTTGTTTAAATGTTCTTTGAACCAAAATATTTACAGAACAAGGAGTTCTTCTAGCCAGCAGATTGTTCCATTTGTTGTGTTTGAGTGTGGAAACATTAGGAATGACAGCATAAGATGATGCCGTAGAGCTTTTTCATAAACAACCTAATAGCATTGTCTAATGCGGTCTTTGTTTATTAAAGGTGTCAAAGACTCCTTTGCTATATTTAGGTAAAATCTAAATTTCTTTACTCAAGCATGGAAAATACTGTTTGTTTCTGTTTGGGAGGAAAGCAGTATGACCAAATAAAAGAATTACACTTAACTGGAAACAATTATTAAAAGAGTCTCAATTTCAGGAAGGGAAAAAAATTAGAATTTTGTGTTTTGTGGTTTTTTAAAGGGGGTACTGAAACGCTAATATTTAATACCTTTTCTAAAAATATTTTATGTATGTGCATTTCTATTTTAGTCTGTGGGCATTAGTTGATAAATGACTTTATATTTTAATTGGAGTTTTTAATTTATGACATAATATTAGAGCAAATACATTTTAATAATAATAACTAACACTGTGGCTGGGCACTGTGCTTTCCATATCTATTTTATTTTCTAAGAGCTTATATTTTGTTTATTAACTGTTAATAATTGAGTTTAAATAATATACATCTATAATAGCTTTAATAAGGAAGTAAGTATGTATTGAAGTCAATATGAGATGACCATCACAGGCAAAAATGAGCCCAGTGTTTCTGACAATAGAAGAAAATGGCCTTAGACTTTAAGAATATTTGTGGTGAAGAGTGAAGTTGGATGGTGAAGATTTGAATAGAATATATGTAGATCTGGAGTACTTTAATGACAAATTCACAATTTTAGATTTAATCTAATAGGTTTTACACACACATTCATGCAATATATATGTATCTATATATTAAATTACACATTCTTAATAGAAAAGTTAAGAGTTACAGAGTTTTTGCTTTACTAAGGAACATGCACTGTACTTTTAGAATTATAAATTGTAAAACATTTTACATGTAATGCCAGTATTAACTGCTGTAATGCAACTTCCTGTGGAATTATTATAGCAGAGATAACATTATAGCAGATCCCTTGTTTAGTAATTAAGTTTTTTATATTGTAATAGAAAAAATAGAAATTAATTAGAATATTGAAATATGGAATAAAAATTTTATTAGCTAAGTGTTTGTAATATATGTAACATTCCTTCTAAATCTGGTCTGGGACTACCACTAGTAATAATCTCTTTGTATCTTGTTTTATCTTATAATCATCATTGCCCTAGTTCAACTATATTCTCTGTCACATAGTATTATGATAATTTCTTATTGTTTTCCCTGCTTCCGGTCACTTCAGGTTTTGTTAAACCTATTCTTTGTGACCATCCTAATTTAACATGCTTCCAGAATCCTCCGACAATCCTTATCTAACCAACCTTTCAATTTTATTCCAACATTCTCTGCAATACACTCTTTGTTTAAGAAAAACCTGGGCTACTTGCCTGTGCCTTTTCTATGTTTTTTTTTTCTTATCTGAAATAATATCCCAATATCCTTATTTGCTAAAATAATAATCATTATTTATGGATTAGTTCAAATGCTTTTCTCTTGGTAGCCTCATAAACCTCAGCCTGAATTATTTTGTTTTTACATATGGTTGGTCCTTGGCTCTATGTGCCTACAGCAATTTTGTGCTCATTTGTAACAAAGTTGTTTATGTTCATGTTTGGTCTTTCTGTCTAATTTGTAAACTCTTTTTTTCCCCTCTATTTTTTTTTCCTCCTAGCATGTGAAAGTCACATCTAGGCCTCTGTGTCATTCTGACAGTGATCTTCAGCAAATCATCTTAGAGCAATGCTACAATTTTGTTTGCGTGAATGTAAGTAGTAAATACAAATGACTAAAAGCACTTAAAGACCTTATACGTGTGACAGGGAATAGAACTTAAGCTTCTTGATTATTAAATATTTGACTTTAAGATGTTGATAGATTAATTGTGTTATTTAATATGCATTTGGAAGTTTTATTTTTATCTTTTGAAGTAGGAAAATAACATTTTCTAACAAGCTAATTCCCATAATGAGAAGATGGTGATGTTTCTTTAGACAGTATTTTCACATTTTCAATATCCATGTACTTGGTATAAAGCAGATAAGACTACACAGGTTTGAATTAATAAATAGTACATATTTTAATAGGTATAAATTTATGGGTGTTCTTTAAAATTGATTGAAAATTAAAAATGGAGCTTTAGAAATATTTTGAATGATTATGTAAAACTTTTCCATTTATTCTCCTTGAATTAACTTTTAAATAATTTAAGTACTTCTTTTCAGTTCTTTTACTTTTCTGGTCTTTCAGGTTATGACCTCTGAATTTGAAGAAACCCAGAAATTACTGAATATGCTTAAAGAGAGTAATCTTTCCATTTTGTATCCTGTTGTTGTCATTTCAGTAAGTGAATTAATACAGATTTTTCTCTTCAAACATATGCTTCATTTTTTGGAATTCATCTTTTTATTTAACAAAATTTAGTCAAACTGAGGAAATCCATTCAAACCCCAAAGAAGAAACTCTTCTCTGTGGATTCTTGAGCTTACTCTCTTGCTATGATTTCTATGATTCCTTCTCTTATTTGGTTGAACTGATAGGTTTGGAAAATAATATAATTCAGCCTAGCAGCCAATTTCATTTCTTTTTTCTTCACTAAAATCTCAGTGTATTGGTGCATTGATTGGCTGTTTGGATAGTGTGAATGAGCTTTATTTAGCATTAGATGGCATTAAGAGAAGAAATCCTGAAGTTGAAAAAAAAAAAAATCAGATGGAAGAAAGTTTACCCTTTGGTTGGTTCATCTTCTCTGTTATATGGACAGCAAAAGGAGGGTGAGCACAGGCCAAAGAGAATTCCTAGAAGATACCCCACAGAAATTTTGGCGAGATCTTTCTGTGAAGGACTCAAAAGGTTATGTTATACAGAATTTACTTGTGTAGCAGAAGGGAATGTCAGAGAACAAAACCAGAAAGAAAGAAAACCAGAGGCCACGCCTGCCACACTGGCTGAGGAGCGGAATCTGGTCTGCAGCGTTGTGCGGTGTGAAGGGGCTCTAAACATGAAGTTCTCCAAGCAGCTGCTTAGCAGTTGCCAGGTCCCTAGAGCTCAGGCCTGTTCCATAGTGTGGGAGCTGAATGTTAGGTAAAATCATTAATGCAGAATGAAGATAATTTGCACTACAAATAGGTAACTCTAGACTAAGCCGTGCAAGTAGAAACAAACCAGCAATAGGGGGAGGTTTATTTCACTGTCCTGTTGTATTTGGTTATATGCCCCAAAGATAAGTTCCTGGGATCCTGCTGGTTATGGAAACCCAAGTTCCACATGTGACAGATTTTAACAGAAATGTAGATGTTTAATTGAGGTTTTTAAGGAATATTATGAAAGGCACCCAGGGCTGGAAGGCTCTGAGGCTCTGTGGGATGGTGGTTAAGTTCAGAGCTCTGTGTCTGGCTCCCTCGCCCCCTCTCCCATTGTAGCTTGCTCGGAAATCTCACTCAGTCCACGTTTCCAGACGTCATTCTAAGGAGGCAGTACAGCGCTGTGACCAGAGCAAGGGCTGGGAACTCTCAATACCTTCGTTCCTTGATCAAGTTTCTTAACTTTTAGGAGGCTTGCTTTCTTCATTTTAGAAATGAGGCTAATAACCCTACCTCCTAAATCACTGAGGGTTAAAATGAATGAATGGGCAGTGTAGCTGATATCACAGGCCTTGGCCCTTGGCAGGCACACAGTGTTAGTTTCACTTACTAGTCTCGCTCCTTGTATTTCCAGTTTGGAAGCGATGACTCAGAGTGGGCTTCTGTTGCTTTAATCTGATTCCCGCGCTGCAGTCGTACATTTTCCAGCATCCTGTTAGGTCCTCCCATTTGAGCACTCCCCTGTCTTCTCATGTCAGATCTAGTGCAAAAGCGCACTCCCCGTCATTGACCCTCCCCATGCCAGTGCCGTTGTGGCAGGTACCCAGGTGGGTGGGAGTCGGTGTCACTCCTGAAATTCCCTTCTTCCTTTTTCCTCTGCCTCTCTTTATCACACACACACACACACAGATACACACAGACACACACAGACACATACACATAGACACACAGACACACACACAGAGACACACATACGCACACAGACACATACACATAGACACACAGACACACACACATAGACACACACACAGAGTTTTTAAACTTACTTCTGTTTCATTTCTACTGTTGTATCTCAACCTCAGTCCTTTGTATTACTTCTGTAAATATTTGAATTTAAATTTCTGTTGAGTTCCATTTTATGTACTCCAGAAAATGCAAGAATTTACTTGGCTACCTGGTGTTCTGTATCAAACTAAGGCAAGAGATGGACAGTCCTCTATTTAGGGAGGAAATGTCTCTTAAACTAGTGTGAAAATAGTATTATAAGTCTGTATACTGTAAATCTACACACTATGAATGCTGTAAAAAATTTACATCAAATTAGAGAGTTGTCATTCCATAATTAATACTTGTTCACTCATTATTTTCTTATTGCATAGGTAGATTCCGTGTGCTGATATTAAGGTTATTATTAAAATTAACCGGAAAATGTCACTAGAACATATTTAGAATCTGCTTCCTTAGGATGGAGCAAATCACTGGGAAAGTAAAGAATGGATATTTAGCATAGTTAGATTTTATTTCAGGTTCCACATGGTTCTTGATGGTTAAAATGCCAGATTCTCCCTGGCTATTATGAAAGTGAAATGGGTTGGAAACATTTAATGCAGGAGGTTTTTGTTATCTAAGATAAACTGGTGCAGGTAGAGGCTACTGCTTTAAAAACCACTTAAAGAAAGGAACACTTGAAGAGTAGGAAAAAATAGCTCTGTCCAGGTCAGTTGGTTAGAGCTTCGTCCCGATGTGCCAAGGTTGCCGGTTTGATCCCTTCCTGGTCAGGGCGCATAGAAGAAAGAAGCAACCAATGGATGCATAAATAAGTGGAACAACAAATCGATGTTTCTCTCTCTCTCAAAATATTTATTTTATCTTCCATTTAGGAAAATTAGCTTATGTTTGCAAAAAATGAACTTTTTTGCATAATCTTGTGTTCATTATATGATAATATATTGTGATTTTCCTCAAGTGGTCATTTCTGCAAAATATTTTGAACGGTTTTAGTTTTGTAAAAATATCCTTTATTGATACTTTGATGTTCAACGTGCTCTTTTGGACGTCTATTCTTATTTTCTTTTTATATATTTTAAATGGTGTAATTTTGCGAAGTTCTCATTTGTTAATGGTGTTGAGTATGATTGAAGGAGTTTACCAATGTTAATTTGATCAACTTAATGACATCTTATGTTTTGGTAGATGTAACTGAATTTCAGTGTAATTATATTGAATTATCAGAATTTTCCACATTTCTACCTTGAGACTAACTGATGATAATGTTGACAACTCAGACTAAAATCGATGCCAGCATTAAAGCTGGCAGAAATAATTGGATGGGCTCACTTTATAAGTGTTCTGTTTCCCAGTGAATCTGTGTGTGTCTGTTTTGTACCATATGTGCTCTTTTAACTGCAGACCTTTGGAAACACATACTCAGATAACATGCACACCTAGTACTAGGAGAATACGCCTTACTTGAAGGGAAAAAAAAACACACATGCTTTTTTTTTAAATTTGAGACTAGTTGACATAAAGGAATTAACAAATTTAGAAACCGCCCAGCCGGGCGTGGCTTAGCGGTTGAGCATCGACCTAGGATCCAGGCGATCGGGGTTCGATTCCCGGTCAGGGCACATGCCCGGGTTGCGGGCTAGGCAGCCGATCAATGACTCTCTCATCATTGATGTTTCTATCTCTCTCTCCCCCTCCTTTCCTTTCTCTGAAATCAATAAAGATATGTTTAAAAAAAAAAAATTTAGAAACATTTCTATGTCTTTTAACAAGAAAACCTTATAAACGTTAATACTTAAAACCAATACTTTCTTTTGTAAAGTTAAATAGTGCAGGAATTATGTTTAGAGTCCTTTTCAGATGTGATTTCTGATGCTGCTGAGTCTATCGTCTAAGTTATCACAGAGCCAAAGTCTTTATCCTGAGTTGACTGAAGGTAACTGTTAGCCTCCTCTCCTTGGCCCCCTCTTCTTTTTGGTTACCAGGGGTATATACTATTGCTAGTGCCTTTTCAGATGGCAACTCTCAAGAGGATTATCTGAAGCTCTTTTTGGAATCACCTGATGCAATAGCTGTCAGCATGAGACATGTTCAGTTTTCTATTTTCTACTCCTATGGTGTGTTTTTGTTTACTACCTAAATGGTGAATAAATATTTAGAAAAATAAAGTAATATATTAAATATAGTGAAGTAGTATAAGGTAATTTCATAAAATTTCTGATATAAAAATTACTCCAAAGAAACATAGGCTTTTACCTAAATTACACAAAACTCAAAAGTGCTAAGAGTGAATTATAGGCCGAGTTCTTGGCTTAGAAATTAATGGTCAGAGAGTTGTTTTATTCGTAACAATGGATAAGAGAGCTTCAGGAGACAAAACTAACTATGGCTGTTTTCCAGTCAAGATCATGAAAACTCTGAAAAAATACCTTCACAGGTTCAGAAAGTAAAATAGGGATTGTAATTTATTTGGATCTGGCAAAGTTTTCACAAAATATCCCTCTGTACTACTATCTCATGAGATAATGAACATTATATTCTTATTTAAAGCTTATTTTTTCAATGAGCATAGCAGAAAGTAATTGGCAACAAATGTAAATAGAAATTCAAAATTGAGAAATGAAGCAAACTCTTTAATTTTACTTAATAAAGTAGTTTATCACTTTTCTACAGCAAAATGATTTTACGGTAACTATTTGGACAATTACACAAGAGTTCTACTTTCCTCTGACAATATAGACAGTTTTATTGTGCTGTATGAGAGATAAGAATCTCTTCATGAATTCACTTCAGCAAAACATAAATTATCATATGGGATTTTAATGCTTTGAAAAACATAAATAAACCTTCAAAAGTGCCTAATTTAGCTCTAGTTACTGGAGAATAGTTTATTGACATAAGAGATCAGAATATATGTTATTTAAAATACTTCAAAATGTTTAATATTTGAACATGTCAGCAAATAAAACAATAGAAAACCACAGTCCATTGACAACTGATACTTTTCACATCTGGGGAAACCGTCACAGAGATGTAAATTGTTTCCAGAAGGTTCCACAGCTCACCAGTGGCAAAGCCAGGAACAGAATCAATCCAATATGCAATGTATCAAATGCACTTGTTACTTTTATGCTCTCATGAATGTGTTAAATAATAAGATGGAACAAGATTAAAACTATATATACACGCATATATGTATTTAATATTTCTTCCTAATAAAGAACAAATGACAATTGAAAAAACATATAGATTCCT